ATATTAACATGAAAAATAAAAGTAACAAATGGTTAAATGTTGCATTTCTTAAAGGTTTCCATGATAATCTCTCATGCAATTTAAAAGTATCTTCCATTTTAATGCTGAGTCATCTGGGGATGGGATTAACATGTAAAATAAGTATTTCATCTAGTGTAGCATTCCATCTCTTGACAACTAATACCTGTGACTTTAGGAAGGCATGTTAGTTGAGTTGCAATGGACAACAAAATTTAGGTGTATATGATGATACTTCAGTTAAAAAACTATTTAGAAAAAAATTTCTAAATAAAATCAACTTGGAAGACTGGGGAGAAGTTCTGACCTTAGCACTCTATAGGGCTTTTGTAAAGATTATTTCTAGCCTCTTGAGGGAAGGAGACATCTTAGTAAATAAGGTGAAGGCCAATCTCATGTGGTTTGTTCACCTGTGAGTGGAGGAGGTGCTACCTATGCCATGGCTGTACATGGATTCCACTGCACTTGTCAGGGGATCATTTAGACCAGAGATTCTTAAACTTTTTTTTTTTTCGTATCATGGACCTTTTTGGCAGGCTGGTGAAGCCTATGGACCCCTTCTTAGAATAGTATTTTAATACATAAAATATATAAGATTTTAAAAGAAACCAATTAGATTAAAAAAAAACTACTGATTTAGACCATATACACACATGAGAAGCAATATGGCAGTGTGGATAACATATTAGAAATGAAGTCAGGAAACCTGTTTCAAAGTCTACCTCTGACATTTACTAGTTACTTAACCTTTCTGAACACCAGGTTTCTCATCTTTAAAATAAGGATAATACTACCTATAGCATCTAATAATAAGAATAAGAATACAGTAGTATCTAATAATAAAAGTAATTCCTGTAGTATTTAATAATAAAAATACCTGTAGTATCTAATGGTAATAATACTAAAATTAATACCTGTTTTGCTATTGTTGTTCAGTCATGTCTGACTTTTTGTGACCCCACTGGGATTTTATTGGCAAAGACACTGGAGTAGTTTGCCATTTCCTTCTCCAGCTCATTTTCCAGATGAGGAAACTGAGGCAGAGAAAGTTAAGTGACTTGCCCAGGCTCACACAAGTGTCTGAGATCAGATTAGAACTCAGGTCTTCTCAACTCCAGGCCTGGCAGCTGTATCTAATGTGCCACCTAGCTGCCCAATAACACCTGTTGTACCTGTATAATACCTATAATAGCTAATAATAATATCTATAGTATTTAATAATAATACCTATAGTGTATAATAAAATAATAATGCCTATAATATTTGATTACAACAACATCCACATTATCTACCTCAAAAGACTTCTGGGAAGCTCAAATAAGACAATAAAAGTAAATCATTTTGTAAATTCTAAAGCATGTGTTGGCTATTATTTAGAGATAGGAAAACTCTACTCTCAGATGAAAGGGCCAGACAACTATATCTCCCTTCACCTGGAATGAAGACATAAAAGGAGGGCCAGGCTAATTTGGAGAAATAATATCTGTACTACTGATTTTGCTGTCCCATTTTACATATGAGGTAACTGAGGCTCAGAGAGTTTAAGGGTAACTCATGTTTACGCACTTGTAAGTGTCATAGGTGGGATTCAAACCCAAGGCTTCTGATTTGAAGTAAAACATGTGATCCACTATGCCATTCAGCTTTACAAAGGCAATATAATGCCTCTTATGTTTCTGAACAATGAACTGTCATTTTTATGTTTTCTTTTTTAAAAAACAGAAACATTGTTATACCTTGAGTGTACATATATTTCATTTTTTAAATGATGAATTTTGTCTTTTAAGCAGTCAGTTCAATCTACTCTGTATTGAAAAAAGAAAAGAAAAACATTTCATACAGAAACAGTATCTGACTAGATAAAGTGATGATCGATAGATTGATAAATTGATTGATAGATATATAGAAACATGGATAGATACAAAGAAGACTAAAATAAAGCCCCTGCTCTCATGGAACTTCATGTCTAATAGGGGTGATAAGTTATGTATAGAAATAATTATATAACAGGAACTAGACATGCATGACTAAGAGGTGCAGAGATAATTTCTCTTTTTAGAGTTCAGAGGAGGAAGAGATGACTTCCAGAGGGAAGAATCAGACGGGCTCAAAGCAAGCCAGAAGACTTATATTTTATATTATAAAAGAAATAACAAAAAAGCCTTGCCACAATTGAGAAGCTAATAGTTGTGATCATTCACCAGCATGAATCTATGTAGCAGGTGATTGGCTCGGAATGCTTCTGTGGAAGTCAGTATGTACTTGAATCACTTTTACATCATATGTTCTAGCCCCTTGCTAAAAAGCTTTATAATCAGAGACTATTGGTTTTTCCCCTGGATCTCATAATTGAGGTGGAGGGAGAGAGAAAAAGAGGGAATGAGTAAAGATGTTACGCGAAAAGGGATTGGTAATGGAGTCAAGAAGATCTCTCTATTCAGGTCAAAGTCTCCAACCCTCTTTTCCCTCCTCCCTTTTGAAGGTTTGACTTGGCACTCCAACAGGTCTTCCTTGGACTTTCTGATTGGGGATGAAGAGAGGATTTCTCTATCCTCCATATCAGAAGCTATGGTGCCTACAGATACAATGGTGAGTACATTTGCTTGCTTAAGTGAGCCTGAGACTGAATTACAATTACTAGCTGCATATTCTGCTTTGTGTTTCTTTCCCTGAGCTAAGGTGACTGAAAGGTCATGCTGAGGTAGATTTTTCTACACTTCCATGAATTTGAGAGATCAGGAATCCTTGAATACTGAAAACAGCAAGAAATGCTTTCTGCAATTATACCCTTCTTGGAGAAGACCACTTCAAGGAGGGTGAGCCATTATACCTGGATGGTTAGGTTATCTGGACCTTGAGTTGTTGACCAGACAATGGAGAGAAAAGTGAAATTTATTCATTTTCCCACAAGTTTACTGGTAGTCTTTTCCTACCAGGAATATATAACAGATGTTAGGTTTCTTGTGAGTACCTGTTAAAAATGACTATAGCTGATAAACTATGTAACTTTTTGTCCTTGTAGTCTTCTATCTAGTTGTCTTCAGAAAGGAACTATATTTCATATTTTCTTCTCCAGGACCAAAATTTGTTTTTGCATTTCAAGGAATTCAATTTCCTCTTACTGACTTTTTATTATATTGTTTCAGTTATTCTACTGGTTCTTACTGTTTTCATCATCTGACTTTGGTTTATCTGAATTCCTCATTTTAGCGTTTATAGTTACACAATAATATACCATTATAATTATATATGCCACTGTTTTTTTTTGATACACATTCTCCATTTGAGAAGCCCCAACTTTGTTTCCTGTTCTTTGTGTATATTTGTTTTCCCATAGCTCTTCCAACATTTACTGTTCTTATCTTTTGTTATCTTTGCTAATTGTGTGGTATGAGATGAAATCTGAGTTGTTTTAATATGCGTCTATCTCACTATTAATGACTTATAGCATGTTTTCATGTAGATGTTGACAGTTTGGAAAAAAAAGTTTGTACCTTTTGACTACATATACATTGGGGAATGGCTCTTGGTGTTATATATATTTGTGTCAATTCCTTGTATGTTTTGAATATCAACTTTTATCAGTCACTTTTTTCACTTTGAAATAGGCTTCAGACTTTCTTGGTATAGAGAATTCTTGGTGAGGAAACTGAGTTACTGATAGTCTAAGTGACTTGTCTCTAGTCACACAATTATTATGTGTCAGAGTCTGAACCTAGGTACCTGTGACTCTACTCCATACTGCCCCTCTCAATGATAATCGATGCAAATGTTTTCACGCTCAATAGTTTCTCTCTGAAATATTTTAAAATTTATTTTATTCATACAAAAGCCTTTTAATTTGATGTATTCAAAATGATTTGTTTTAAATTTTGATGGTCTCTTCTATCCATTGTTTATTTAAGAACTCTCCTTAGCCAGAATTGTAAAAAGTATCCAGTCTTGTTCTCTTCCATCTTTTAATGAAGTGACCATTTATATTTAGTTTGAGTATGGCACTATCTGTGAAGCAGCTAAGTAGTGCAGCAGATAGAGTACTGGGTCTGGAGTCAGGAAGATTCATCTTGGTTTCAAATTTGGCCTCAGACAATTACTGGCTGTGTGATCATGGGCAAGTCATTTAAGTCTGTTTGCCTCAGTTTCTTTATCTGTAAAATAATCTGGAGAAGGAATTGGTAAACTACTCTAGTATCTTCGCAAAGAAAATCCCAAATACAGTCATGAAGATCCACCTGAAATAACTGAATAACAACAACAACAACAATTATATGGTGAAAGATGATGGCAGAAACCTAATTTTTGCCAACCTGATTTCCAATTTTCCTATCAGTTCCCATAAACCACTCTTACCCATGTAGCTTGTGTTCTTAAGTTTAGTAAACATCGGGCTTCTGTTTTTGTTTTTTTTTTTTCTATCTCTTGTTGATCTAGTCTGTTTCATTGATCTGTTTTTTTAAATGAGTATCAAATTATTTGTATAATTGCTACTTTATAATATAGTTTAATATCTGACAATAGTATTCTTCTTTCATTTGTACTTTTTCTCATTACTTCCCTTGAGAATTTAGACCTTTTAAAAATGACTTTAAAATATTTTTGTCTAGTGTTATAAAGAATTGTTAATTTTATTGCAATGGGACTAAATCTATAAGTTAATTTAGGTAGTATCATTTTTTTATATTAGCATGGCCCAGCCATGAGCAGTGAATATATTTCCAATTTTTAAAGCCTATCTTTATTTTGTCAAAGTGTGTTTTGTAATCCTTGTTATGTACATATTGCAGGTATTTGGTATTTGGTCAAATTCCAGATATCTGATATATTCTGTAGTTATTTGGAATATAATTTCTCTTATTATAATTTCTTCTTTTTTTGTAGCAATTGTTTGGCACAGAAATACCAATGGGTTCTTTTTGTCAAATTATTTTGTGTCTTTTTACCTTGCTGAAACCATTAATAACTTCATTTAGTTTCTTTGCTGAAAAAATGTGGCTCACATTCATGAATTTCTGCATCATACTTGCATAGTGGCCATGCTAATCTTGGCATCATTTCAACTTTAGTGTATGTGCTGCTTAAGTGAACAACACAGCTATACTTCAGTGAACTGATGGAACCATGATCTGGTAGGTATGGCTACTCCTTCCACTGGGGCTGATCCTAACCTATCCATGCCTTCTCATCTTGGGGGATTCTTGTTTGTAGCTTTCAATAATTTCCCCATAGAGGATTTATCAAAATTCCAGAGGCCATCCTTTAGGTCCCTGAAAAATTCACGTGATCCACTGCAGCAGTAAGGCAGTCTATAGATTCTACGTACTTCCCTCTTGTTACACAATGATCCCACCTCATTTTCCTGTCATTCTTTATGACATTTATTTCTGCAACATCTAATGACTAGTCATTATTAGTAATATACTATAACTACTTACTTCTCCTTAATAGTTGGTTATGGATCTGTCTACAACAAACAGTAGATAATTGATAGTCATTCCCCAATGGAAAGGCATGAGTTTCAATGAAAAAATATTAAAATGATTAAAACACACATATACATATACCTCAGCTAGACCAGAGTAAGTCTAGCCTTTTTGAGTATGGGATGCCATTTTAATGTCAAAAAAATGTCATGGGCTCCCATGTGGTAGTTGTACTATTTATCTCCATTGATTAAGAAGATCCATAATAATACAGAGCCACTATGAATTCACTAAGGCTTTTAAACAATTTGCATTTTATTAATCACATCTACACACATTTTAACATTGGAAATACACATATGCGTGATATATATTATTTATTCAGGCTTCGAAGATGATGATTCCTGATATATATATATATATATATATATATATATATATATATATATATATACATATATAGATCTGTAGATCTCTTGCAATAATTGTACAGTACCTGCCCCTAGAGGGAATGCTGCTCTAACAAAGGTGGAGTTAGAGGGAAGCATATTAAAGAGCACTCTTGCAAAAAGGTAATCCTTGAAATGGTGACCTAGTTTGGCAACCCCCTGTAGTTGTAACTTCTGTGACATTTTCTGATGGCTAGTACTTATAAGTATCCAAACTCTTACAGCTATAGACTAGCAGCAACAGAAAGAAAAATAATAGTAATAAAGTATTTGTATACTTTAAGTCTTGCAAAGGATTTCATATGCACAATTGCATTTAGTTCTCATAACAATTCTGAATCAGTGCTATTATCCTTATTTTATGGATGAGGAAACTGAGGCTCACAGAGGGCAAATAGCTTGTTCAGAATCACATAGTGTTTGATGTGGGATTAGAATATTTGTCTTCTTAAAGCCAAGTTTAGCATCCTTACTATTTATGTTACACAGCATCTTTCAAGATTCTTTTTTGTTGGAGGTGCAAAAATATATGGGTGGGACCAGGAATAAGGGTACCTATTTTAATTGAAAAGAGGGATATCATTCAAAGCCATTGGTTTTTAGCACCTAGCTGATGTGTTTCTATAGACACATTCATTATGGTTTATTTATAAATGCTCTTTGTGGAATGTCTAATTCTTTTTTCTTTTCTGCTGATAAAATTACCAGTGGTTGCATTTGATTTCATAATAGTTTATAAATAGCTTATCACAAAGGAATTTGCTGGGTGGGGGAAACAGCCCAAACTTTTAAGAAGATTTTAAAAAAGGACAAAAGTGGCTTATTCTATAATTCCACAGATCAGTTTTGACACATTGATTCCACTGCTTTGTGAATGAGATAGGGAATTCTTGAACAAAACCAATAGTGACCAACAAAACCATCAAGAAGTGAGCAGAAAATAGAAAAGAAAGATTAAATACAAAAAAAGAATTGCATGGAGGAAAGAGGAGTCCTTGAAATTTGGCTAGACTATTTCCAAATCCATAGATCATTTTCCTGTGGCTATTCATGAAGGATGAATGAATGTGTGAAATTTGAATCGGGGGTGGGGGGGGTTGGAATAAACACTTATTAAGCACTTGCTATGTGCTAGGCATAGTGCTGAGTGTTTTACAAATATGTTACTTTTACACAATATTTTCTAAGATCAGGGGATGCTAACCATTTGGATCAAATAATGACCATGTGTCTCATATCAACCCATTGGGTACTGTATTTTGGAAATGATTGTTAAACTAGAGTTAGTTCAGAGGCAGGCAATCAGGATAGTGAATATACAAAAGATAGGAGACTTGATAGGATGTAGTGAAAATTTTTAGCCTTGAGAAGAGAAGACTTAAGGGAGAAATGATTTCTGAGTCCAAATGTTTTGTCATGCAGAAGAGAATTTGACTTGTTTTTCTTGACTCCAGAACTCAGGGCTAGGAATAATGGATGGAAATTACAGGGAGGAAGATTTTAGCTCAATATGAGTAAAAAAAAACACCTCTCTAACAGTTAGATCTTTCAAAAAAAAAAAATAGAATGAGCTGCCTTATAATGTAGTGAAATCCCTGACACTGGAAGTACTTAACTCACAGTTCAGTGGCCACTTGCCAGTGATGTTTTAAAGGATATTCATACTTTAGGTAAATTTTTGTACTACGAGATGATCTCTGAAGTCCCTTCTAATTCTGAGATTCTTCAGTCCTCCTGTACCCCATATCATCAGTCACAAATAGAAGGAATATTAGACTTACACATGGGAAGCCTGAATTCTAGTCTCAGCCTACTCTTTGACTAGATGCATGACCAATCATTTCATGTCTCTGGGCCTCAGTCTCCTCATAATTAAATAAAAAGATGATTGTTAATGTCACTCCCAGAGCTGAAATCTTTTACTTCTCTGACTAAGTCAGGTCAGTACACATTTAAGCATGTTCTGTGTTTTGGGTACTGTATTAGTCCTGGCACTGGAGCTGCTCCCACAAACCAACTAATTGAAGCCCCTAAGACAATTCCAAAAAATTCATGATGGAAAATGTTGTTCACATCCAGGGAAAGAACTATGAAGTCTGAAAGCAGATCGAGGCACACTATTCTCTCCCTCTCTTTCTTTTTTTCCTTTCTCGTGGTTTTTCCCTTTTGTTCTGATTCTTTTCACAACATGACTAATGTGGAAACATGTTTAATATGATTGTAGCTGGATAGCCTATATCAGATTACATGCCATCTTGGGGAGGGGAGGGAAAATTTAGAACTCATAGTCTTATAAAAGTGAATGTTGAAAAATAAATTAATTAATGTTTAAAAAAGAAAAAAAAAAGAAAAACAGCAGGATGCAGTGTACAGAGATCTGACTTTGGGGGCAGAAAGATCAAATCTTGATTCAAATCTTGGCTCTGATACAAACTGTCAGGGTGATCCTGAGTAAGTCACAAACCTCTTAGTGGTATAGGCAAATCTCTGAGGCTCTATGTTTAAAAAAGAAAAGAAAAGAAAAAAGAAAACTGACCTGTAGAAAAAGTTTCCCCAGGGGTAAATTTTCTATGCCAATGAAATTACAAGTCTAGACCCAATTCCTATGACAATGAATTAGTCACTTAATGATACAGTGTTTGTTAGTTTTGCTGATTTTACCCCCTCTTTTTGGTTCTTTGTTTTGTGATAGCTCTCTGGAAGTGGAAGTCAGAGAGATGCATTGGTAAATGTAGGTAATGTGAAGGCAAAGACAATTGATACAATTTATTTTTTAAAATGATCCTTGAGGGCAGAGAGTATTTCATTTATGGTTTGTGTCCCCTATACCAAAGTGATTTGCATATAGTAGCACTAAATAAATCCTTTATGAAATTAAATACCAGTATAATGGGTTGAGGATGGAACTTGGAGACAGAGGTTCTGTGCCTGAATCTTATCTCGCACAGGCAGTTGGTGGCACAGTGGATGGAACGCTGGGCCTGGAGTCAGGAAGTTGTTGTTCAGTTGTTCAGTCACGTCTGATGCTTGGTGACCCCGTGGGCCATAGCTTGACAGGCCCTTCTATCCTCCAATATCTCTCAAAGTCTGTCCAAATTCATGTTCTTTGTTTCCATGATACTGCCTATCCCTCTCATCCTCTGCTGTCTACTTTTCCTTTTTCCTTCAATCTTTCCCAACATCACAGTCTTTTCCAATGAGTCCTGTCTTCTCATTACATGGCCAAAGTATTTAAACTTCAGCTTCAGTATTTGACTTTCCAGTGAATAGTCTGAAGTAATTTCTGATTTGATTTCAAGGGACTCTCAAAAGTCTTCTCCAGGACTACAATTAGAAAAAGTCAATTCTGCAGCACTCAGCTTTCTTCATGGTCCAACTCTCACAGGCATACACTGCTACTGGAAAAGCCATAGTTTTGACTGTGTGGACCTTAGTTAGCAAGGTGATATCTCTGCTTTTTAGTATGCTGTCCAGATTTGCCATAATTTTCCTTCCAAAGAGCAAGCATCTTTTAATTTCATGGCTGCAATTGCCGTCTGCAGTGATCTTTGAGTCTAAGAATATAAAATCTGACACTGCTTCCATCATTTCTCCCTCTATTTTCCAGGAAGTGAAGGGATCAGTTGCCAAGATCTTCAAATCTTGCATCAGACCCTTACTAGTTGTGTGATTCTGGGCAAGTTGCTTAACTTTTGCTTTGCCTCAGTTTCCTCAAGTATAAAATAGAGATAATAATAGTACCTACCTTGCAGGGTTGTTGTGAAGATCAGATGAGATATTTATAAAGCACTTAGCACTGTGCTTGGCACATAGTAGGCTCTACATAAATTCTTATTCCTTCTTATTCTTATTCTTCCTTCCCTCACACTGTGTAACCTTGGACAATTTATTAAGCCAATCTGTGCCTCAATTTTCACCTGCAACATGAGAAGGCAGGCAGCTAGGTGGCGCAGTGCATAGAGTGCTGGGAGGCAATCAAGAAGACTCATCTTCCTGGGCTCAAATCCAGCCTCAGACGCTTACTAATTGGGTGACCCTGGACAAGTCACTTAACCCTGTTTGCATTAGTTTCCTCATCTATAAAATGAGATGGAGAAGGAAATGGCAAACCACTCCAATATCTTTGCCAAGAAAACCCCAAATGGAGTCAGGAAGAGTCAGACACAGCTGAAAACAACTAAACACCAACAACAAATATGAGGAGGTGAAAATAGGGTAGAT